TTTTTTTTTTTTTTTTTTTTTTTTTTTGTAGGATTCAACTATAACCCGACAGTTCACAATGTGGTGGCAGTGGACGACGGGGGTATAGAAGCTGCATAGCTCCAAGTGGCGCCAAAGTGTTCAATTCAGGCAAGGATGAGATCGTGCTTTCAACAGGACACAGCTCTTCATATGCACCACGCTAGGGCACTGCCAAGGTGGAATGAAAATTACTATCAATTCCCTCTAGTTCTCGACCACCCCGTCTCGATTACACGTCGATCTCGATGTAAATGTTCTAAGTCGTAATTTTATAAAAATACCGATATAACGATGATTTGGAAACATTGTGGAAATAAAATAATTGATAATAATTAAGCGTGGTTATATGTATTTCTTATTATGTTTTCTCTTTGTTTATTTATTTAATTTTTATAAATATGTTTAAATTAAATTTATAATGGATAACACTACATTGAAAATAATTAGGATAATAATGTTAATGCACTAAATTGTTCTATTTTTATAAATTAATATAAATAAAAAAGGGGTATATTTGCTAAAATTATATCTACTAATAACTTATATCAACCTAATGCAATATTTATTAAAACTATTATTTATAATAAAATAAGTTAAATTTATTTATTAAATAATTTAATACAACGGTATAAGTATTTAATTTTTGATAGTGATGCAAATTTAAAATAAAAATATTATTTAATGATTTAAAGTTAATTAATTTAATGCTTATAATTGATAATAATTTGTTCACTAATTAGTAATTTAATTAACGGTTCAAATTTCTAACCAATATAGAAAGAGAGATAATTAATTATATAAAACAAATATAAATATTATTTCTTGTGATTTATATAAATATAAATAATGGAATCATTAGGGATCTTGTTTTAGAATCAATGATGGATTGTATAGTTTGTAAAGTTTTTTTTTTTTTTCTTTTTCTATTTTTAATATTTAGAAATCGCATTCGAAATTTTTTATAATTATTTAAATATATATTCTATACATTAACTATGATTGTGACTTAAGAAAATTATCGTCATAATGCATCATCATATTTAAAGCATGCATTTCATCTTAATATGGAATAACGTCATATTAAGAAATTTCATAATCTTACATCTTACATCGTCATGTTGTCATGCATCGTCGTCATCATATAATATCATCATAGAACATCATATGATATCATATGACATTATCATATAACCCAATCATGTCATCATAAGTTATACATTATACATCATCATCCTATAATATGGTCACAACGTCATAAATATAAAGCATAAATGACACATACAAGAGCCACGAGCCACGTGTCATCATGCATCAAACAAGTCGTCAAACCTATCTGATAGTAAGACCACTTACTTGGTTGGCCTTAGCCTGCATTTCTTTAAATTCGCGTACGCTTGTCTTCCGTCCCTTGAAGTTGCTCCAAGTATCGTCGGGAGTCGTTTCTTATTAGGAGGTCCATCTCCTTTCATTAGTATTTAGCATTTCTAATCTATTTAACTTGAATTAGGGAAATAGAGCATTATAACGACCTCAGTTACCTTAATTTATTTTATTTTTGGAACATGACTAATATTTTAAATGTTTATTTAAGAAAATGAAAATTATTGTCGAAAAATCATTAAAAAAATGTTATGTTTTTTGGAATCTTATTTAGAATTTAAATACTTAGAAAAATGGATTTTATGGTAAAGAAATGATAAAAGAAAACTAACACCATTTTTAAAATTGAAAAATTAAATAGTCGTCAATTTATTTAAGAATGTATAAAATAATAATTAAAAAATATATATCTTAATTGAAAGGAAAGTCAAATTTATTCTATATTTGAAAAAAAAAATTAGTTAAACTTTTGACATTTTTAAAATACATACTAAATTTATGTGAGGGTAAAATTGGTTGAAAATAAACTTTTTTTTTTTAGTACTTGAAAAAAGCCTATAGAGTTTTAAATTATTTTCTTTTAATGAAATTTGATTAAAGAAAGGAGTGGTTACCCTAATGAAATTTGATTATTATTATTATGATTTTGTTAAATTTAAATTGATCCAAAATCAGCTTGATGGTAGAAATGTCCATGGAGCAGGGTGGAGACGAAAATTTGTTCCCCATCTCCGTCCACCAACAGTGAGTTGAACCCGATTTATGAAGGGAGAGTACCTGTTTCGAGTTTAAGATGAGTTTTATGGTTTGGCTTTAAAATTTCATATTCTAAATTCTCTCTCTGCCGGGTATGAAATTGATCGTGGTTGATTGGTATAGACTCGTTAGAGGACAATTTACACTTAGGAAGGATTCGTGAACCAAGAGGGACTGTAGAAGGAGATTGAGTTTGGAAATGTAAGGTACGATTTTGGAGTTTTGAGGAACTTTAGTGTAACGCCCGTTAGGTTTAAGAATAATAATAATAATAATAATAATAATAATAATAATAATAATAATAATAATAATAATAATAATAATAATAATAATAGTAATAGTAAAATAAAAATAATAAAATAAGCAATGAAAAAAAGATTAACTGACCACCTCTCTTTTAATCTCTCCACCCTATCCTACAATACCTCCTCATCTATCATCAATAATTCTACCATCAAGAGAAAAAGAAAGAAAAGATTTCCTAGGGATGAGAAAGACATATAGATCTTCTGGGAAAAAGGCAGATAGATTATTTCCTAGGGAAAAAGGCACATAGATTTTTTAGGAGAAAAAAAAAGAGAAGATGATGGAGAGATGGTTAGGCAGAGATGTCATTTGAAAAGATTAGTTAGATTTACCTTTTCTTTTTTTCTTATATGGAAGGATATTAATATGTTGCAATTACTTAGATCTGAGTTAGAAATGATGATATCTTAACCTAAGAGTCCATCAAAATTTGGTAGGAGAAAAGAAATACAAAGAAAGAGGGGAAGACTGTGAAAACAGATAAAAAAAAAAGAAATAAAGAGATTTTCAAATAAAAGAAAAGAAAAAGAAATATAAGGTGAGAGAGAAAGATTTAGAAGCAACTAATCGATAGAAAATCTTCCAATAGAATGGTCGTAAATAACAGAGGTAAATGAAAATATGGTAAAAAACATATAAAAAAAAAGAAATAAAGAGATTTCCAAATAAAAGGAAAAAAAAAAAGAAATATAAAGTGAGGGAGAAAGATTTAGAAACAACCAAAAAAAGAAATAAGGAGATTTCCAAATAAAAGAAAAAAAAAAAAAGAAATATAGAGTGAGTGAGAAAGATTTAGAAACAACCAAATCTAGAAAATCTTCTGATAGGATGATTGTAAATAACAGAGGTAAAAGAAAATCTGGTAATCAGACTGTTGAACAGAGTTAAAAGAATTAGATATGAGTATAGAATTAGAAAAGGATTAGAATTAAAAGGAAAAAAAAAAGAAGAGAGGAAGATTTAAGAAAGAAAAGAAAATTAAATCGATCTAAAATGGCTGATTTCCAAATAAAAGAAAAAAAAAAAGAAATATACCGTGAGAGAAAGATTTAGAAACAACCAATTGGATAGAAAATCTTCCAATAGAATGGTTGCAAATAACAGAGGTAAAAAAAAATCGGGTAATCAGACGGTTGAACAGAGTTAAAGAATTAGATATGAGAATAGAATTAGAAAAGAATTAGAATTAAAAGAAAAAAAATGGAAGAGAGGAAGATTTAAGAAAGAATGGAAGAGAGGAAGATTTAAGAAAGAAAAGAAAATTAAATCGATCTAAAATGGGTGGATTAATAGATTTTAAGGAAGAAAAGAAAATTAGAAGAGATTGAAAATGATTCAGTTAATTCTAGACATTTTTAAAGAAAGAAATGAAAATCAGATTGGATTGAAAATGGCCAGTACAACAAAATTAAAAAAAAAATGATGATTCATGATATTTTAGGAAATAAAAGAAAAGAAAATCAGAAAGATATTTTTAGAAAAGAAAAGAAAATCAAATTCCATAACAGAGGAGATGAACAGAAAGACTGAGGTAAGTGGAAAATATGAGAAAATTATTATAATTTGTACCCATTAAATATAATATTATTAGAAACCATATTTGGATTGAAGGATCCAAGTAACATGAAGTTTATTACCCAATACAATTTAGAAACAATGAAAACATGGAATTCGATCTTTTACTGAGGTCGTTTTAGAGCTGTATTTCACATTTATTGAATAAATGGTAAATTAATTGTGAAATACTAATGAAAGATAGCGAACGGTGTGATAGGAAACAAATCCCGGCAATGTAGGAAGTAGCTCTCATGGAACGGGAGCTTACATTTAGCTAATTAAGGAATACTTCGGCTAAGGCCAACCAAGTAAGTGGTCTTACTATAAGATAGGCTAAAAAATTGTATGAGTTGTGATGATGTATAAACTATGTCGTACGATGCGGTATATGAGTTATGATGATGTGTGAGTTATGATGCTTGATGATATGCGTAATATATATATATTTTGAAGATTGACGTACTTGATATGTTTGATGCACTTTGTGGCAATATGATGAGTATGATGATTGCGTGACGTTTACCTTAATATGATGATGTTTTCCATATTGAGCATGATATATGATGATGAGTGCTATATTGCATCATGTCGTTAGATCGACATAGGACACAACCTTAAGAGCGTGAAATGATATTAATATAAATATCCACGAGTATGTGTTACCTAGAGTAACATAGAGATGAGACTAGAGGGTTGTGTCAGAAGAGACATTATGATGAATTTAGAGGGACCTCATGCATATTGTATGTTCATAAGCATAGGGCTACTTCCCCTAGAGATGATGTGTACGGACGCACACCATATGATGAGCGCGAATGCGCACAAGTACGAATGCACACAGATGAGGGTGTTCATGAGGCGCATGACACTATGGGGTTGACCTCCGGACATCGTTACAGATTAGCTTGACCAGAGGGTCCAGGGGGTGTGCGAGCACTCTGGAGATTCATACTCACACGTGTGAGTCATGTGTAGGGAAGTACTACACATCCAATTTACCAGAGGGTCCAGGGGGTATCCCCCCAAATGCATGATCACACAATATGCAAGAGGTCCCACTAGTCCTACAATCATCATTTAATGAACATAACCCCGTGTCACGTTTTCATGCTTA